CAACACCGCATTGTCGAAAATATTTTAGTTGGCTAGAGAATGTCCGAATATGCCCTCCATTAAATTTTCAAAGTGATCCGTTGTCTGGTTCACTAGAAACGTCTAATGTGCCATCCACCGTGAATCAGCCTGTATATGTACTTATCGTTCCAATCTTTTTCTATTTTTTTTATTAATAACGTGTCTCGGCATCTAATGGCCACTGACACGGGATCTGTGATACATTTACATAATAATACAAAACAAAAAAATTATATCAAATGAAACAGTCGACAGTCCTTCAGAAATTGTATCACGACACTGAGCTGGTTAGGTAGGCCGAGAATGTCTTTGAGATTTCCACTGAGTTTGTGTTTGCGGCGAATTGGGCTGTAGTGTATACAAATCCAAAAGTATGTGCGCAATTGTGAGTCTTGCATTACCACAAAATTCACAAGTAGGGGAAGACATCAGGTATCCATGGGTGAGTCGGGAGTGGCCTATTCTGAGTCTTCTTATAACAATTTTGTCCTTTCTTGTCATTGGGGGCAGGTCCAGCGCCGAAACTGTGGGTTGGATTGTATATAGTTTGGTGGTACATGTGTTCCAATGTGTTTGCCATGTTTGTATCATCATTTGTCGAGCTGCTGATTTCAAGTCTTGGTGAAGTTGGATCTGCTCCTCAGGCAATTCGGAGGAACAAGCTTGTTTTGCTGCTTGGTCTGCACGTTCGTTGCTCGTAATTCCTACGTGAGAAGGGATCCAGATGATATTCACAAGGACACCTCTGGTACGATGGTGGTGGCAGGTATCGGGGATATCTTGAACCAAAGGATGATGTGAGTAACTATTTTTGATAAAGAATATTGATGAAAAGGAGTCTGTGCATATGAAAAGTTTACTGTTATCTTGTACTGGGGACCTCAACGCTTGTAATATTCCATATAGTTCAGCTGTGTGTATACTACAGACATTGGGAAGTTTGTATGTTGCTATTATTGCATCGAGTGTAGTAACAGCACATCCGGTACCATTAACTTCTTTGGATGCGTCAGTATAAAGGATTTTGTCGAATTGCTGGTTATTTATCAGTTCTCTGAAACTTTGTATGAAGACTATGTTAGACTACGAATTTTTGGTACATGGCGGAGTTTTAGACAGTTTTATAAGAGTTGTAGCAATTAATTCAAATACTGGGTTTTGTGGGTTACCATATACCCTGGAGAAATATGATAATAGTTGGTATTTTCGTCGTATAAAGAGAGGTGGTTCAGAGGATTCAATATGAATGCTTTCCATAGGACTGGATCTGAAGACAGCCAGGCATATTCGTAGTGCTGTGGTTTGGATTATGTCAAGGTATTTGAGGTATGTTTTGCAGGCATTCATATAAAGAATTCTTCCGTAATCCAGTTTGGAGCGGACTAATGATCTGTAAGTCCGTATTAGTATTTCCTCTTCTGCTCCCCATTGGTGATGAGCTAATTATTTTAAAATGTTGATACGATTTAGACAGTTAGCTTCTGTCTCCTGAATATGTTGTCTCCATGTGAGTTTTTTATCAAAGATAACTCCCAAGAATCTATGTTGATCAACCACTTGTAACTGATCCCCATTGGGATCTAATTGTGGAGGTAGAGGATTAAGTCTTTTGCTAAACTGGATTACTTTAGATTTGGTTGTTGAAAAGTGAAGTCCGGATTTGAGAGACCAATTGGGCGTATAATACATATGTGACGGTGCTAAGAACCGAGCCTTGTGGGACTCCGTTTTCTGGAAAATGCAGTGTAGATGACAGTCCATTTGTAACAACTTTAAAAGATCTGTTGGTAAAGAAGTTTTGTAGAAAGGAGAAAATGTTTCCAGTTGGTCCAAAATCCATGAGTTTTTCAAAAATGGTAGTTTTGCGAATCGTGTTGAAGGCGCTGTCAATATCTAGACTAACGGCAATTAGGTCTTTCTTACTTTCGTGCATCTGTTTGATCGAAAACCTGCCTGTTCTGAAGTTAAGAGGTTGTGCGATTCTAAGTACCAGTGTAAGCGTCTATTAACCATTTTCTCGAGAATTTTACATGGAGCACATGTTAGAGAAATTGGTCTGAAGGAATTGGGAAGATTGGTATTTGTGTTGTTCTTTTTTATTTGTATTATGGTTGCTTCTCTCCATATAGCCGGAAATTGTTGGTTGCACCAAATTTCCTTGTAAAGAGCAGTTTAATTTTAGTTTCTGACTGTAAATATTTTAGGAAGATCATTGGTATGTCATCTGGTCCTGAAGCTGTGTTCTTTATCGTGAACAGGGCTGAGTTTAATTCGGTAAAAGTTAAAGGAAGAGTGAGAGAGTGACAAATGTGGGAAGGTTGTTCAGGATTGTTTGTTGAGTTTAGAGGTTCTGGATGGATTTTCTATTATTTGGAGTACTGGAGTAGACTTCAAAAGCTATACAATTGGAAGTGATGTTCCAAGAAATGGTGCAGGTTCTTTTTTACGGAGAAGAACAAGCACTACAGAAATATGCTCCAGTTCCTCTGACAGCGGTGCTTGCTATTTACGTTGGATTTAAATCGCGCTAGGAAAAAGTTGTTTATAAATGACAGGTGGTAACATTACAGAAAAAGTCCCGCGACAGATGTGCATGGAACAGTGTATAAGTAATACTGAGGAAGTTGATGAACCGTTTCGGCTTCTCCGAACAGATAAAATAGTTATTTATCTTAACGTTACAGTTTATTTATCTTCACATTTGAGGAAAATTGTAATTGCTGTCACTTCCACCAGATGCAGACTAGCATCGTGACGCGCTAGGAACTTTCATTTGTTTTCAGATGGTAATTGATGATTAATTATATTTCAGTGTTCGTTCCCACAACCGCATCATGAACCACGTTAGTTTAGTTCGGTGAATAATTTCCAGTCTCCGAGCAAAATTTGTCTCATGGAAACGGGATTTTGTTTGCGGAAATTAATTTTCGCTTTTACGGGTGGGTTATTTCAATTATCTATATTATTTTGCTTATTTGCATTGAACCAATTCAAACGTGAAAATTTCGAATGGCAGAACGCTTCGTAACACTATTTTAATGTTCATTTCATCATTGAGATTTTTATACAGCTTCAGACTTGTATGCAAATATTTCTATCTTACTCCATCTTACTAGAGAAAATAGCTCAAATTGGTTCGAATATCTCACTAACTCAACTTCTACGTTTTTATTTGGATCAGAGACCCAATGTTGTTTTTTATAATGGGTTTGCGTCTGCACCATACTTATAACCATCCGGTGTGCTACAAGGCTCCAATCTGGGACCCCTGCTTTTCCTCATCTTCATAAATGCCAATATTATTGAGTATTTTTATACTTTCGAAGATGAAATACTCCTTCACGAAGAAGATGTCGAAAATCTACTAAGTTGGTGCTAACTGAATAAAGGGACTTGCTCCTCCTCTTTTTATCTCAGGAATAATATCTCAAACAATAATATCTCAGCCAAAAACATCTCAGTAAAAAACATCTCGAGACTGAAACATCTCGCACGAAAAAATCTCAAAACAAAAATATGTCAATAAC